CTTTCCACAAGGAAACGGTGGAATTATAAAAAGTCGACCCTAAAAGTACACACCTCTCCTTGTCCTGTGGATATCAGTCTCTGGCGGTAGGGTCCCAACACGAAAATTACCCATAAAAAGGTGATGTGTGACTGGCTTCAGGCAGTTGTCTTTTGGGCACTGTCGTCACGCTCTCAGGTCACTAAGACCAACTCTAACACAAGTTCCTTTCCAGGTACCTCCAGAAGAACCCTTCCACGGTATGGACAACTGGGGATTGATAACCGCCTTCATACCTCTAACAGCAATCAAGATCACTATGTTCATAGACAATTTCCTATTATTCTTCATACCACAACTTTCAAATCTAAACTTCTTCTTTTGACTTCCTCATTAAGTGTCACCATGGCCAACGATTTTAGTGCACGAATCACTATCCCAGGTCTACTGAAATCTCGTTTTAAACTACACGTCTGAGCCTTCAACGTACGCACCCTATGTCAAATCGGCCAACAGGTCTCCTTGGTTAAAACTCTAGAATCTCGTACGATCGATATATGCTGAGTCTCCAAAACACGTACACAAGATCCTAGTGTGGTCACTCACTTGACCTCACCTCGTCGAAACGGGGAGCCGACGAACTACGCTCTCCGTTTAACTGGCGACCTGATGGCTAGTTCTCGTGGACTGGTGGGTGTAGGCATAGCACCAAGTATGAGGGTAGCACTATTAGAATGAATTTCTGTTAACAATCACCTATGTGCCGTTCGGCTAATTGGCCCCGAAAGAACTTGGATGAATAAGGGCACACGTCGTTGCATTTTCGTTATTTCTGTCTACTCTCCCATTTGCTGCAGCTCGGATGAAGTAAAAGATGACTTTTACGGAAAGCTCTCTGAACTCCTTCATAAAACTAAACGCTCAGACACAGTACTCATAGCAGGTGACTTTAACCAAAAGTCTAAGGAGCGATTGTGAGGAATGGTGGGCAACGAAAGCAAAAGAGATGAAAAAGGCAGCAGCTGTAGGTAACGTAAGACAGATTTTCAAACTAATAAAGGGAAATGGAATTAAGAACTCAAGTAAGAAGACTTCAGAAAAAGACGACACTCTCATCTACTTTCAGTCTAGACTTTAGAAAGATGAGTAAACCACTTTAAAGAGCAGTTCAGCAAGCCCTCAGCTACTCTAGAAGTACCCACCATTTACAAATATCCTGAATGGAACATTGAAGCAGGCCCTTCGACTCTAGTTGAATTTCAAAAAGCTATAGCTAATCTGAAACGAGAAAGAGTAACTGGTCTAGATGAATTGGCTCTAGAGGTCTTTAAGGATGGTGGTCCCTTTTTAGTGATTAGGCTGACAAATATTTTAGCTAAAATCTGGGAGTTGGATGTAATCTCATCCGAGTGGATTCAATCACTGATTGTCCCACTACATAAGAAAGGATCAAAATCATCCTATGATAATCATAGACGGATTATTTTAATTAATATAACTTCCAAAATATTAGCCTCAATAATTATCGAGCGTCTAACAAAGAATCATGAACTGAAAACACGAGAAAATCAGGCTGGCTTTAGACCTGGTTTTGGCTGCATCAACCACATACTCACCATTTATCAGGTTTTAGAACACCGACATTCTAGTCGGCGTCCGACACGAAGAGTTTTTCTTGACTTAGAAGCAGCGTTTGACTCCGTAGGCCGAGGGGTTCTGTCGCAGTGTCTGTCAATGAAGGGTGTACCTCATAAGTACATAAACCTTGTGAGGGCTTAGTAGTCGAACTCTGCTGGTCGAGTCAAAGTCATATGAATATGCGACCTCAAGTGGTGTCCGTCAAGGCTGTCTACTGTCTCCGTTTTCGCTCAACTTCATAACAGACATACTGATGGAAATAACGTTCTCGTCTTCTGAATTTTCAGGCATTGATCTTCTAGCAGGAGGTCCACATATTGGCTTAGAATACGCAGATGATAGAATCCTTTTAGCAAGGACGCTGATAAAATGCAGAGCATTTTGGTAGCACTGAGCAACAATGCGTTAATCACCCTCTAAATCCAAGTTGTTGCTTCAGGACTGGTCTGCGTCAACACCTGAACTAAGGATAGGGAGTGAATTAGTCGAATGCGTTGACAGCTTCCGTACATATTGGAAGTCTGGTCAACTTTAATGGGTTGGTGTTTGACAAATTCTCTGCACGGATACGAAAAGCTCGTTTGGCTTTGCCAACTTACGTCACCTATGGCAAAGGCGAGATATCCGTCTATCAACTAAGGGACGAGTATACTGTGCAGCAGTTCGTTCTATGCTGCTTTGCGGCTGAGATACGTGACCATTAAGAGTAGAAGATACTTGTAAGTTACTAGTATTTGATCACAGATGTCTAAGAAAATTGCTAGCGTCTGCTGGGATCACCGGTAAGTAATAGTGAGGTTAGACGTAGGGTATTAGGGAATGATGGTAAATCAGTAGATGAGGTTGTGAATCTTCATCGACTGAGATGGTTGAACCATGTGTCACGTATGCCCAACCACCGATTACCACGACGCACAATGCTGACTAGTGTTAGAGGGGACGGAAGAAAGTTAGGGCGGCCAATCCAAATGTGGCATCAGTCATTGAAGTCACTTAGCCATGTTGGTAGATATAGACTACTTAGTTGAGGTCCATGTGACTATCATAACCAATGGTTGGAGACTATGTGTGACATGGCTCAGAATCGATCACAATGGCGTAGGTGTATACACTCAGTGTCTTCCCTTAGACTGTGAGATTAAAGTTGCTTTATACCTTTCTTCCTACGAACTAATTCTTTCTTGTATTATATCCTTATACACAATGTTTCTTTTATATATTACTACTATTGAAGTAATTACTTCTATGAATTTGGTGATCATCTTGTTCTGTTAATGAGGTATGGGAACTTGGGCCGATGCATATATGTGCCTGATGCTGCGTTGTAGCTGACAGACTCATTGACTAAAATAAGTTGTTTTGTTTGGTAGGGTCACTAAGCTGATAACTAATGAATTGTTGACACACATATTCAACCCCTCCAAAATTTAATGTAGAAAACCTCAGAAAACACTTGAGTAATGAGAGTTGTGTGTAACTTCTATGTTAACTTAAATATATAATTAATACACTACAGGATGACTAACTTTAGAAGATACACGTAATCCATTTAAGCACTAAGACTTATACTGAAAATTCCAATGCAAAGGTATTTAAGAATTTATATAGAATGTATAGTTTTATACCTCTGGATACAGTATTTCCAAAGTACTTCATGTTAACGATCCTTAGTTGAATTCATGAATCTAAAATTCGCCAACAAAATTTGAAGTAAAGTCCATATGAATATAATTCCTTTTTATTCAGTTTATGATGTGAATACATCAAATACTAAAATATAATACTTACTTACGCTTGTTACTCCTCGTGAACGAGCGTAGGCCAAACAACAGCATTCTCCATCCGACCCTGTCCTGGGCAATCCTTTCCAGCTCCTTCCAGTTTTTATTCATCCTTGTCATATCTGATTCTATTTCCCGACGTAATGTGTCTTCTGGCCTTCCTATTTTCCGCTTCCCTTCACGATTCCAATTTGGGATTGCCTCGTGATATCATTTGGTGATTTGCGTAATGTATGTCCTATCCATCAACTCCATCATCTTTTCCTAATTTCCTCTTCAGCTGGAAGCCGGTGTGTTCTCTCCCACAAAAGGCTGTTGCTGATGGTATCCGGCCAATGGATGTTGAGTATGGATGTTGCGTAGACAACTATTATTAAATACTTGTACCTTCTTGATGATGGTTGTTGTGGTTCTCGAAGTCTCAGCTCCGTACAGTAGAACTGACTGTGTTAATGTTCGTATTGAATATTGTGACTTTGATATTGGTTGATAGACGGTTGTTTTGAGTTGCATATGTTCTTCAATTGTATGAATGCGGCCCTTGCTTTGCCAATCCTCTTCTTTACGTGTGCATCTGATTGTCCTTGTTCATCGATGATGCTTTCGAGGTATGTGGAGGATTCTACATCTTCCAGAATTTCGCCATCAAGTGTGATTGGATTGGTGTTCTCCGTGTTGTATTTGATGACCTCGGTTTTCCCTTTTTGTATGTCGATGCCTACTGATGCAAAGACTGCTGCTACATTGGTTGTCTTTATGTGCATTTGTTCGTGTGTATGCGATAGGAGGGATAGGTCATCTAATTGATTCTGAGCTGTCTATTGTATGCCGTGTTTTCCCTCACATGTCGAGGTCTTCATAATCGAGTCGACCATCAGAAGAAAGAAGAAGGGAGAGAGTAGACAGCCTTGTCTGAATCCGGTCCTTACTTGCAATGTTTCGGTCAACTGCCTTCAATATATAATACTTTGTTGAGGCTTGCCACAACTTAAGGAAAATATAAGTCTAGTTTTTGTTTACCTGATAAGTAAGTTTAAATCAACGTCATTCATTAATCAATTTATCTTTATTTGAATTATTATTAGTATTATTCATTAGAATCTTATTCTCTTCAAATATATCATCCCTCAAGGTCATTCAATAACCAATCACAGCAGAAGAAAATATGAATTGAATTATTGATCTTTTGATAAATAACCAATCCGATTACAGTATTCTTTTTAAAAAATACTATATACAGTTTTCTTCCCGATAAGATTTATAATAATAGTTATTATTTCCTTTATTTATCTCTGTGTTTACCTTCTATCAATAATGAATAAAAATCTATTCAATCTATTTAAAAAATTTCATTATTTAAAAAAAACGAAAATTTTATTATTTTTATTATTTATTGGAATATATACTATATTAATAAATATTTGGTCATTAAAAAAATTTAATTCTTTGCCAAAATTGAATTTAACTAAATTTAATGAATTTAAACAAATCAATAATGATATAAATAAAAAATGTTCAATTCCACAAATGAATTTATGGCCAAATCATATAAATAATAATAATAATATAATATTTCCTAAATGTAAACAAACATCATTATTTAAATTCTATAATTTATCTAATAAAATAATTAGTATCCATGAATATTTATCATTTCATATGGGAAAATTAACAATCCATCATAATAATAATAATAATAATAATAATAATACAATTGGATTAAATTCTAGCTTAGTTACATGTTCATTATTTCCAATAAAACGATTAATGATTATCAATCAATTTATTTAAATGTTATTGAACAAATTTATCATGGTTATCAATCAAAATGGCCAATGTTTATGGTAATGTGTCAACCAAAACAAAATATATTACTTTTACAATCTTATTTAAATTGGAATAATACAAAATTAAATCAAATTGAACGTTTATTTATATGTGGTTCATATCAAAACAATATAAAACAAATCAAATCAAATAGGACATTGACTAAAATGAAACAAAATAAATTAATGTTTAATATATTACTTTTAGGTATAGATTCTATATCACGTTTATCAGCATATAGATATTTAACTAAAACAATGAAATTTCTTCAATCAATTAATGAAAGTTCAATTATAATGAATTTATATAATGTAATTGGTGATGGTACTACAGTAAATTTATTAGGACTTTTAACTGGACAATTAGAATCAGAATTACCAGAATCAAGAAAATCTCATATGAATATAAATAAAAATAATTTATTATTAAATAAATCTAATAATTATACAATATTAGATAATTATCCATGGATATGGAAAGAATATACAGATTATGGAAATTATGTGACACATTATATTGAAGATACACCTAAATGGGGTACATTTCAGCATAGATTATGTGGTTTCGGTTCAGTTAATAGTCCAACAACTAGTTATGGACGTCCATGTTTAATAGCAGCACATCAAGAAGAAAATTATTCTGGGAAAATACTTGGATGTACAATGTCAAGGTAAATAAATAAACAAACAACAAAAACGAATACTATCAGAAGGGATTTTGTGGAGATTTTAGTAATTTCAATAGTTGAAATCATGAGTCAATTGAAGCTAGACCACAGTGGAAAATCTCGAAGTACAGGATGGCCATTCGTCCCAGTACGGCACTCCCTAGCAGTGCGCATCCACGAACCCGCCCTCCGCGAGATTTGAGACTGATAGGTCCTGCTTCCAGGATTTCCATGATCGTCTGGCTTCAATTGACTCATGATTTCAACTATCTAAAAATGAATACTATCAAAGATTGAAATTATCTTTGATTTTGTCTCTTTAAATTATATTTCATATGTATGTCTAGAAATTAATTGTTTGTAAAATATTATGCAACGAATTCAATTTTTATGTATGTTGAAATTCGTAACAGACTGAAAATTTTCTAAACCAGAATTCTAGAAAATGACATAGTTTATAGTTTTTATAGATATATGATCAAAAACTATTATGAACCTAGTAGATATCATTATCAACGTTTGACTTGATAATTTCGAATTGTAATAAATAAAAAAATTAATATATTTGTAATATTCCAATGAATAGAAAAATTAGATTTCTGATGTTTTCGTGACTCAGTATAAGTCACTTCTTCAGAGAATGAATAACCAAATAAAAATTAATCCACATTTAAATACTACAATGGAACAACGCAAGAATATTATGTGATCAACCAAAAAACTTGTGTGGACAAATCAATGTCATGTCATTTCGTTCAAGGTGATTCATAGGCGACATGTATGTAAATTTGTGTGTGTGTATGTATGCACTGTTAAGGATGAAAAATGTGTGGCATTTATGGTGGGAAAGGATAGAGTTTAATTTGTGAGATAATAGTGTGAACATTGTGAATTATATCAGACTAGGTGGCTAGGATAGACAGTCCAAGTAGGATGTATGGTAAGGCCTTCTTTTCTACTGAGTAAAATAGGACTAAGCACTATACGGAATGCTTCAGCTATTCTTCTTTCTTTATAATTGGAAAAAAACTTTTTGTATTATTTTGATGCCTTTGATATCGATTTTGTGATTGTTGAAAAGGGCGTGAACTGCCATCGCCGATTTGATTTTGAAGTCTATCCAGTTCTATAGGATTATTGGGGGTTTTCTTTGTGGACCTAATATGTTCTTTGGATCGAGTCAAGATTTCGCGAGATGCATCTCTAATATGAAAGGCATCACGATTGACACAACCTAATTTATAGATGCAGTTTTCTGTTGATATGAAGTGGATTTCTTCTTTTAAGCGAACTAAACTATTTCGAAGTGTGTTCGCTGTTTTGTAATATACTTTAATTCTGTGTTGTTTTAAGATTCTTTGGAGTTCTTCTGTCGTGCCCTGGTAACATGGCAGTACCGATCCATGCTATTTCATTTAAATAAGGGTCACACATTTTTCATCCTTAACAGTGCATACATACACACACACAAATTTACATACATGTCGCCTATGAATCACCTTGAACGAAATGACATGACATTGATTTGTCCACACAAGTTTTTTGGTTGATCACATAATATTCTTGCGTTGTTCCATTGTAGTATTTAAATGTGGATTAATTTTTATTTGGTTATTCATTCTCTGAAGAAGTGACTTATACTGAGTCACGAAACATCAGAAAATCTAATTTTTCTATTCATTGGGATATTACAAATATATTATTGATTTATTATGAACCTAGGTTACGTGCTCGTTGAAGATCGTTAGCTAGGAAACTAGTACTTATGCATAATACAGTATCAAAGATCAAAAAGTTATCCTTGAACTTTTCTGATCGGAATTATCATTTTGTAGGATAGACAACTGTGCTTACTGTTCGTTGCTGGAATTTATCATAGTCACGTTATTATTCCATTGTGATGATTAAGTACAAGTGAACAAGCTATAATGCACTCAGTCTAAGTGATTTGAAATTATTTTTCTTTGAAATTGTAGACGCACCTCACTGACGTCTACCAAATAATATCAGACTTGAAATCTGTTCTTCCTATCGAGTGTCAAATAAAATTAGATAATACTCCCCGTGTTGCCAAAATACATGGACTACATGATTATATTACAACCTAAATGATATTATTTGATTAACCCTAGCGACTAGACGGTATGATTATTTTGTGGTAAATTGGCATACAGTTATGTGATAAATACGTATTAAAATCACTTAAGAATCTAACGAAAAAACTAAACTCATTTTCATTACTTTTCTTTAAATTGATAGAATGCAAAACACTTGAATAGATTTACCTCATCTTAACGATTGTTTTCATCTGATCTGTGATCTCTGCCAACCGTATTAAACGTTGATTAACTTGAGACTTTATTCGAACCACTTAATATTTTGGTTTCATATATTGCAACATATATCAATATTTAATACTTCCAAATAAAAGAGAACAGTATTCCATCTGAATATCAATATATATAGGATGTATATCACAACCATAGGCTTTATTACTCAATAATTTTTATTTTCAGTAGTTGAAATCATGAGTTAATTAAATTTAGACCATCATGGAAAACCTGGAAGCACTGAACTAGCTTCAAGAGGCATTTCCTGGAGTTCTAGTGAGAAGCAGTGATCAATGGAGTTCAATGGAGTCTGTTGTGGGATATCAGCTCACTGAAGATAATGATGGATGTGTTGCTCAATTTCGTGGATTAGTTGAAGTTAGACATTGACACCGTTGGATGATGGCCAGCTCAGTGGTCTAGTGGTTAAGTGCTCGCGCACAAGACCAGTACGTCCTGCGTTCGAATCCCGCGAGGCCTGATCGTGGATGAGTACTGCTGAGGAGTCCCACAATAGGACGAAACGGTCGTCCAGTGCTTCCAAGTTTTCCATGGTGATCTAGTTTCAGTTGGTTCATGATCTCAACAATTGAAACAAATGATATATATAAACGGTTTCAACCTTGTTTGACATTTACCACCTACCGTTTAACCTCAAACTTGCATGTGCACATGGAGACATGGTATGTCTGGATTTTCTTTGCCTATCAGAATACCTGTCTTGTCCTCGTTTAAAACTCCTGAACTTTATCCTTTATACGAATCAAGAAAAATATGACACAAACTCGTATATTTAATGTGAGTCAATCTCATAAGCCAGAACTATGAGCTTAGTAATCAATTATCATTATGATAAACTCCAGTAATTAAAGTTATTGAAAGTTATAAATAAATGAAACAAAAGTATTTATTTTGTCTTGTTATGAAGCTTCTTATAAAAACGTTACTTGCTTGTTCTTTTCCTCTTATTATCTTTAAGCTTTATAAAGTTGACATTTTGAATAAACACACTACAGTGAAGCATTTCAATCTGATTCAGTCTAAAAATTTATATAGTTATCAATGGTTTGGTTATTTTACTAAATTATTATCTGTTTTTAACTAGTTATGCATAATTAATTGTTTTTTGAATGAATATTCAATGTATAAAAATAGTAAAAATATCCAGTTCACCTAAATAACACATTCGTTCCACCTCCAATGTTTATCATCTTTATTGTTTCAGTCAAAAAGAAAAACAACAGAGGTGAAAATACTGATAGAAATGAAATTGATTAAAATTTAATGTGTACTTGTATTAAAATGGTGTTATGAGGATTTGAATGAAGTCAAATATTTACTTACTTACGCTTACTTACTTACGCCTGTTACTCCTCGTGAAGGAGCATAGGCCACTCACCAGCATTCTCCATCCAACCCTGTCCTGGGCAATCCTTTCCAGCTCCGTCCAGTTGTAATTCATCCTTTTCATATCTGCTTCTATAATCCGACGCAATGTGTTCTTTGGCCTTCCTCTTTTTCGCTTCCCTTCAGGGTTCCAAGTTAGGGCTTGCCTCGTGATGCAGTTTGACGATTTGCGTAATGTATGTCCTATCCATTTCCATCGTCTTTTCCTAATTTCTTCTTCAGCTGGAAGTTGGTTTGTTCTCTCCCACAGAAGGCTATTGCTGATGGTATCCGGCCAGTGGATGTTGAGTATCTTGCGTAGACAGCTATTTATAAATACTTGTACTTTCTTGATTGTGGTTGTTGTAGTTCTCCAAGTTTCAGCTCCATACAGTAGAACTGCCTTGACGTTCGTATTGAAGATTCTCACTTTGATATTGGTTGAAAGTTGTTTTGAGTTCCATATGTTCTTCAATTGTAGGAATGCGACCCTTGCTTTGCCGATCCTCGCCTTTACGTCTGCATCTGAACCTCCTTGTTCATCGATGATGCTTCCTAGGTATGTGAAGGACTCTACATCTTCCAGAGTTTCGCCATCAAGAGTGATTGGATTGCTGTTCTCCGCTTTGAATTTGAGGACCTTGGTTTTCCCTTTGTGTATGCTGAGGCCTACTGATGCAGAGACTGCTGCTACACTGGCTGTCTTCATCTGCATCTGTTCGTGTGTACGTGATAGGAGGGCTAGGTCGTCTGCGAAGTCCAAATCGTCTAATTGATTCTGAGCTGTCCATTGTATTCCGTGTTTTCCTTCAGATGTTGAGGTCTTCATAATCCAGTCGACCACCAGAAGAAAGAGGAAGGGAGAGAGTAAACAGCCTTGTCTGACTCCAGTCCTTACTTGGAATGCATCTGTCAGCTGTCCTCCATGCACTACTTTGCACTGTAGTCCGTCGTATGAGTTCCGGATAATGTTGACAATCTTCTCAGGAACTCCGTAGTGTCGAAGAAGTTTCCATAATGTCCTCCTATCTACACTGTCGAATGCCTTTTCATAATCAATGAAGTTGATGTATAGTGATGAGTTCCACTCAACTGATTGTTCGACGATGATCCGTAGTGTTGCAATTTGGTCTGTGCACGACCGATCCTTACGGAATCCAGCTTGTTGATCTCGAAGTTGGGCGTCTACTGCATCCTTCATCCGGTTCAGCAACACTCTGTTGAAGACTTTCCCTGGTATTGACAGTAGTGTAATGCCTCTGTAGTTTTCACATTTGCTCAGATCTCCTTTCTTTGGAATCTTGACGAGGTGTCCTTCTTTCCAGTCCATTGGCACTTGTTCCTCCTCCCAAATCTTTTTGAATAGAAGGTATAGCATGCTTGTGGTTGCTTCGATGTCTGATTTCAGTGCTTCAGCTGGTATGTTGTCGGGTCCTGCTGCTTTCCCGTTCTTGATTTGTCTGACGGCCATTCTAATTTCTTCCGTCGTTGGTGGGTTGACATCTATAGGAAGATCTATGTGTGCTGCTTCGATGTCCGGTGGATTCATTGGAGCCGGCCTATTCAGGAGTTCCTCGAAGTATTCTACCCATCTGTTACGCTGTTGTTGAATTTCGGTGATTGGCTTGCCTTCTTTGTCTTTGACCGGCCTCTCTGGTTTACTGTATTTCCCTGCTAGTTTCTTCGTTGTATCGTGAAGCTGTTTCATATTTCCTTCTCTAGCAGCTTTTTCTGCCGTCGTTGCTAGTTCTTCCACGTATTTCTTCTTGTCGGCTCTAATGCTCCTCTTCACTTGTTTGTTTGCTTCTATGTATTCAGCTTGTGCTTGGACTTTCTCTGCTCGTGTTCGGCTGTTGTTAATTGCTGCCTTCTTGTTCTTCCTTTCTTTGATCTTGTCCAGTGTTTCTATAGAGATCCATTCCTTATGATGGTGTTTCTTTAGGCCCAGAACCTCTTGACACGTTGAAGTTAATGCTTCCTTGATGCCTTTCCAGTTGTCCTCCATAGTAGTTTCTTCTTCTTCAGTAGATCTTGTAAGGCTTGGAACCTGTTGTTGAGAGCTATCTTGAATTCATTGAGTTTGTCAGTATCTCGAAGGAAGGCTGTATTGAACCTTTGTAGTGCTGTTTGTCCACTTGTCCAGTTCTTTTTCAGCTTCAGTTTTAAATTGGCTACAACTAGGTGGTGATCTGAAGCTACGTCAGCACCTCTCCTGGTTCTCACATCTTCCATTGTCCTTCGGAATTTTTTGTTGATGCAAATATGATCTATTTGGTTCTCTGTAGTGTGGTCCGGTGAGATCCATGTAGCCTTGTGTATACGCTTGTGTGGAAATATTGTGCCTCCTATGACCAATTTGTTGAATGCACACAAATTTGCAAATCTTTCTCCATTTTCGTTTCTTTCTCCCAGTCCATGTCGTCCCATAATATCTTCATATCCAGTGTTGTCTATTCCGACTTTGGCATTTAGATCTCCCATCAGAATAGTTAGGTCCTTTCTTCGGCATTTCTCAATGATTGACTGCAGCCGCTCGTAGAACTGATCTTTAATGTCGTCGTTGCTATCATTGGTGGGTGCATAACATTGGATAATATTCATTAAGATCCCCTCCTTCTTTGTTTTGAATGATGCTTTGATGATTCTGGATCCGTGAGACTCCCATCCTACAAGTGCATTTCGTGCTACTTTGGACAGCATAAGAGCGACTCCCTGAGTGTGTGGAGCATTTTCCTCTTCGTGACCGGAGTATAGCAGCATCTCTCCCGTAGCTAGCCTTTTCTGTCCAGCTTGGGTCCAGTGGGTTTCGCTGATTCCCAGTACTGCTAAGTTGTATCTCCTCATTTCCATTGCTATTTGACTGGTCTTCCCGGTTTCCCACATTGTTCGAACGTTCCATGTACCTATAAAAATTTTTGCTCTGGTTGTTAGAAGGGGCATCGGCCTCGTGGCTTCCGAAGGAACTCGGCTTTCACCATGAAGCGTCATAATTCTTCTAACTGAAGACCTTCTAACTCCCAGGGCAGAGTTTAAATGGTTTGGATTATTTTTTCTGGTAAGCGTTTTTTTAGCGAGTTAGTTTTCTACGGGATGGGGACGCTAACCCCATGCCCAACCCTCCTCCTTTATCCGGGCTTGGGACCGGCAGTAACCCTGTTAGAGCTACAGGCGGAGTTAAGTCAAATATTTATTATATATAATACGAAACTTGAGATCTTTAATAGTAGCTTGAAACGAAAGAGATAGGAATAGTTAGTTACGTAGTGAACAAAAGCTAATGATAAATAAACGAATTGATAAACCGAAATAATCGAATGACAGAAAAGTAGAGAAAGATGATGCAATTAAGCGAGCGTTATGCTACCAATGGAAGGATAGATTAATTACTTTCATAATTAATTGATCACTGGGTGGTGATCAGTGTCATGTGTATCAAGTCCTTCTTAGTGCAGACCGAATGCTATCGACCAAGTTGCAGTGTGGCCACTAGTCTAGATGACTCGACATGGCGTGCACTATCTTGAGATTAGATGGTGGTTTGAAGTAGTCAACAAGAAACCCTGGACTCGGGTTTCGTGCTACTTGGCACTCGTCAGCAAGGCGTACCTGTAATCTTAAGGGAACTGGTGCTCCCTGACGGACTTGAACTTGCCGACGAGTGCCAAGTAGCACGAAACCCGGGTCCACAGTTTCCTGTTGGCTACCTCCAACCACCATCTGATCAATCGGTTTCTTTTTAAATCTAAACCAGCCTTCAGATACTTAAAAGATATGGCCTCAATAAATTTTAAAATATTTGAGTTTTATTGTTTGCTGATTAATTTGAAAGTTTTCATAGTAGTTACTTGATGTCTTGAGTCCAGGAGATGTCCAGTGATTGTGTTATTGAAGGCATCTATTCTTTTTAAGCGAAGGAAATCCGCTTCAGCTACATACGTTTTGAATGAAACCTTGTACGATTTCTTTCGTACAGTTATAAGATAATAAACAGATATATTTGCAATATAGAAATGAGTAGAAAAATTAAATTTCATGACGTTTCGTGACTCAGTGTAAGTTACTTCTTCAGATAATAAATAACCGAATTGAAATTATCCCAAGTTCCTTTGTACTATTTAAATGTGGATTAATTCAGTAATCTTCCATAAAGGATACTTACAACCATCTTAATAGGGGTACTACTATCTCATTTGGTTTTTCATATATTTTTAGACTATTTACACTCGGTATAGTGTCTTTTAGTATAGGGGATCGTAAAGATTGTCAAAATCTGTTGTTACATCACAAAATGACCTTAGAAAGATAACTATTTAGAACCAAGAAACATTGAATGGCATTTTTCGCTAGTATGGAACTCATCAGAAGTACTCACTCATGACCCTGTCGAGGATCAAACCCTAAACCTTCAGGTTTCGAGATGAGTACTTAACCTTTGGATTAATGAGACAACATCCAATAGTTTATATATCTTACTTGAATTAATTTCCGATATCGTGTAACTATTCCCCGATTCCATTAGTGGATAACTGAATGTCACGCAATATTTCTAAAATCCACTGGCGTTGGAAGATGATTGAACAATATCGGTGATTGATTAAAGTTCAGAATGTTCACCATTTGGTAGTGACTCAGTGATCTAAAGCTTAAGCGTTCACTGCTAGGCTTGAAGTTCCCGAGTTAGTTAGTTGCAAATCAGATTGTTAGATCAACAAAATCGTCTAGTCTTCTTCTCTTTTAAAACTCAATACACTTAAACAAGTGATATTTTGTCTCTGTGTTGTAATTTAATCTTCATGGATTCTTTAAACTTGGTGGTAGTTTAAATCATTGTTTGCTGATATTTAAAGTGATTTATAATTATCCATTTTGACAGCCGCCTGTTTTAGTGATAGTCAAAATAAAACAGAATCCAGAAATGCTTTTCTTTAAGTTCTCACTGAGTTACTGTCAAAATATAGAACCATTTAGTCAACTACTGATGATACACTATTTATTAACATACAAGTCACATTTTAAGTATTGTGCCATGTCAATTTCCAAAGAACTGTGAGGTGAAGTCGAATGAATATCTCTGATTTGTAGGAATCTATTAACGACTTATATCTTTAGATTTTCATAGAACATATAAAAAATGAGTAGATTGTAACACATGAAAATATGTTTACATTCTAATGTTTACCTATTTCAGTATGTTATTTATGGCTAAATATATGAATGGAATATCATTTATATCTCGACTACTAAGTGTCTTTTTCTCCCTATTTCATTTTTCAACAGATATACCCATCAAGTTCTTTTAGAATCTCTTACAGAATTTTTCGAAACCTATTCAGATAGACCGCGTTTCAGTTTAACATTCTTAAGTGAATTAATACATGAGAATCCAGCATATGTAAAACTTATAGATGAAGATCTATCGAAATTAATTCAACGGATTTACTATGAAGATTTGATGTTCAATGGTAGAAATATGAAGGCATCGAGTAGCTCAAGCTATCCATTTGCGAATACATTGGTAGTATTATTCTCTGATCATGGACCACGTATGGGTGATGCACGACTTTCAGTTCAAGTAAGTTACTGCATAAGTATTTTTATTTGACAATGCAACTACTTAATATGATGACAGTAGCATGCATCAAAAAAGGAACGTTTCTTAACCCATTTATTACATAGGCACAGATTTGTAATTTCACAATGTTGATGCCAATGATCAATCTCTGTTACTGTATTTGCACCCTTGGTCGACTACATCGATATAATGTTATGCCGTAAGTTTTAGCATGCTTGGTATGCAGCTAGCATTCACTCAGCAAAACGTAAAATAGAACCTACACATATGTGCATTGTCTCAAGTTGTCACATCATAGCACAGTTAGAGCCTAAAGTAGTAGAATTAGCAACAAAATCAGTGACAGAATAAAATATAAGGTATAAACAGCATGATGTGAGGAAAAATATGAATACGTGGAATCAAAAAAACATAAAATAATTTCAAAAATTAAAATCTCATGGAAGATGAAGAGTTTTTGATGGAGTTTTGTTTTCTGAGCTGGATGGTTTAGTCGTGGAGCTTTCATCGTTCTTTTGAACGGCATCATCAGCACAAACTTCGGATAGAAGTGAAGCGTTCGAGTTTCTCCATATGCGTTAATGCATCTGAGTCATTGAGCCTGATTCTGAGACTTGTCACCACATAAACTCAAACTAAGTAGTTTATACCTTCCCTCACAGCTCAGCCTAATAGTTAATAAGTTCATGGACAGACGTCACCTCTTGGTTTGAATGTCCTTATTTTCCATCCAACCTAATGATACCCCAACCAACCTTTTTGAGACAAGATATTACTGTTTAACTGTTAGTTAGATAGAGATAAACATGAGAAATCAAATGACACCTTACCAACTATGCACAAAAACACCCTAAATCGATCGTGAACAACCAACAACCTACTAGTACTATATAAAATCAGCTGCGGTGTATTAAATGAAGTAAGACATTGAATTGATCGTCGGCTCAGTGGTCTAGTAGTTAAGGAATCGCGCATGAGACCGACGGTCCTGGCTCCGAGTCCTGCAAGTCGGGTCTCAGGTTTGTAGCCGACAAGAACACGAGTTGCGACAACTCAACTTTTAGAATAGCTTCACCTTATCACTCATTCCTGATTCATTAATCACAATGTTCAATGAAATTCGTTATAATTTTACTTTTCTAGTCACATTTAAACTACTAAAAACGGATTGTATAGTAGTAAATTCACAGAATTGAATTGTCTTCAGTAAATTCGTAAATAAATGTATGAAATAAATGCAATTTACTAAGCTTTTAACTTTTGATGATAAAATGAACTCTTTGTCAATTTCATAGAGTTCTATGAACTGTATTTCATTCTATTTCACCTGTACATATATATACACCATAATTTAGCAAACTTTAAGTCGCATTATTTTGTATGTTATGTCAATGTTTTCTAAAATTTTTCAAACTAATATTATAAAATTAGCATTACCATTGTCAGCTTCCATAAAACAACAACAACAACAACAACCATAATTTGATCATGTCATTATTCTATACCCTGACTGACTGACAGAAATCGGCTTTGAATAAACATTATTTATTGACCTTTATTTAATCTAATGCTCACCGGTTAAAGAGAATATAAACAAACAATAGTGAATTTGAAATTTCACAATGAATAATTTTTTTTGCTTTTTAAAAAAAATGATTACTCGCTATTTAGGTTACAAGGTTAACTAGTTTAATGTTCATAATCTAGTAACACTTATTTATTGATTTAGATTGAATTCGTTCATGTGGATAAGGTGACTTGGCGAGACTCTAATTTATGAGCGAGCCAATGAGAAGCGTTTGAGAGATTTCAAGGTCACGGCTCTAACTTCAGTGTTTAATGCTAACGTACGATCGGTTCACAGGGGATTTTATACAAAACTTGATAACTGAGTGGCTATAACGAATAAAACGACGAGACAATAATTTGTGGACGAATCAATCAGGTATAAGATAACAGATCTCGGATTTTTGCGCGAAAGCCTTTCATCCATTTGGCTAAATAGATTTTTAGCGTTATAGCTGATGTCAGTTCATGATGAAAACTCTATATGTAATTCCCAAATAAGGCAATTTATGACAATTATTGAGAGCTGGATAATAAACGCATCAATAACACTGACTGCAGCCAGGTACGACAATATATGCGGATGATTCGAGAGCGTACAGACTCCTATATAGGTTTGGTTATATGTGTCGTGTCGTTATCATCAAGTGGCATTTTGTGTACTCAACAACCGGAGTGCACACAAACAATACTGAAGCTATGTGGTCAAGGCTGAAAGAGTTTATGCGTATTTATCACGGCCCCAGAGGTCGACTATTCTGTAGCCATATGGATGATTTCCTCTACTGCATGCATTACGATTTTAGAACCTCTGAACCTCTTTCTAACCTTGAAAAATTTTTGAACCACGTATAAGACATGTATCCATTTTATTTCCTTGGTTTTGTATAATATATTTTTACTCTATACTGACTGTTTGCTGATTGGCTAATATTTATCAAGGTCACTTAAGATTCGTCCAAAGGTCGTCCATAAATTATAGTCTCGCCGCTTAGGGAAAGCGAATGGATATTTTTTTGGTTATTGCAATTTGAATTAAATGTCTATTTCATACACATAGTTCCCTTTATCATTTTGAAAAGAGCGAAAACAAACATTCTAGCAGAATACTTACGAAATAAAATGAATTCATGCTATTCTGCTAGAATATCTATTTCATTTAAATTAGGTAGGTGAGCAACTTCTAGCCGTAGTTAACATATGTCAGTTTTCATTTATGTACTTCTAGCCTTAGCTAATCCAGAAGACATCTTGGTAGGAAGATTTACTGGAATTGGCCTAAAAAGGGATCGTGAAGGCAACTACTATGCGTAAACACATTTACAATATCCTGGGGTTGAAAAATGATCATATTTGAAGATCAGTGAGCAAGTAGGGGGGAGCGACTATGTCCACGACAAAAAAGAAAAACCACACCCTTTTTAGCTTTTGAGATAAAAAAAAAAGGAATTCATACTTCGTGAAAGGAAAATCACAAAATGTAAGTGACATCTTGGGATTTAAAGATGCTTAACGGTTACAATAACAAGAACAAAAGGCTGTTGGTAATAGGATAGAAAGTAATGTTTTCTAAATTTGAGATAGATAATTAGGTTACTGGAGTAATTATGTGGTCGAATTACTAGCCGGTTAAAATCTTTTCAGCCACTAATTAAATTATAAACTGACCTTCACTGTAAACTCTAAAATTTACTTCATTATTCAAACCCCAACATGAAAATCATCGTTGAGATTCAAGTACACTCAAATGATATGTCCCAAATGGGAAAAGTAGCTTCTTATGGATTTCATTACTCTACACAAAACTATGATTAGACAGCTTCAAAATACCAATCGACCCATTTAAGTATCTTAGGTATATATTTAGCAAGTTTAATAGATAATAGAAATGGTATATTATTAGGTTCGAATCCCATGAGGGGCGGGATCGTCGATGCGCGCTGCTGAGGAGTCCCACAATAGGGCGAAACGGCCATCCAGTGATCCCAGGTTTCCCATGGTTATCTAGCTTCAATTGAATTGTGATCTCAACTATTGAAATAGTATACTAATTTTAGAAAAATACCCATCAAATATGTCCAAAGATAAAGTTTATGCATTAATGTTCTTCAATCATTCATAAAATTTACTTAACAAACAATAATTCCTATTGAATTGGTTTTATAATTACTATTCTCATAAATATTTCTAATGAAAACAACATTAAGAAATTCATGTATTATAGTTAGGATCAAGAATATTGATTGCAATAAATTATGTCATAAATTTAGATTAGTAACTTAACAAAAGAAGTAGTTTTCAAGAAAAAAAATAAAGAAAAAAGAACAATATGACAATTATTCACAATGATCGATTGAACTGAGGGGAAATATATATATAAATAGTTTGGTGAGAATGTGATTTATAGACGACATTTGAGTGACGCTAGACTGAACTTGAGAGTATCCACCAAATAACTAGGACTAAATGACGCTTATAAATTAGTGTGAGGAATTCGAATTATGATTTACAATTGATGGTTAGTGTTAGGAATCTCATTTAAGGTTTTCATCATGAACTGACATCAGCCATAATGCAAAGACTCTATTTAGCTAAATAAATGAGTGAATTTTGCGTCAAATTCCGAGACCTGTTTTCTTATACCTAATTGGTTCTTCCAGAAATTATACTTTCGCCAATATTTCTTGCGATTTTTTCTCATTTCATTTTAAATCTTGTCATAATTATATGCTACATATTGTTTTCAAGTGATGATCATTTGAATTATGGTGCATTTTTAAAAGAAAATCTTGCATCACTATTTAATATTATGATCAATCAACATAAAATCTAATCCCATTATATTTCGTAAAATAATCATTACGGACTACATAGCTACTATTAATATCGGTAGCCTAGACACAAATTAAACCACTTCCTATTCATTTCTCTCTTTTATTTCTGTATACCAAATATATTAATAATATTATAGACAATTATGTTTAACTATACTAAACTATGTATATTTTAAATAACATTTATCAGTAGTCACGATAGAATAGTTAGAGGAATTATTATGATTGATCGCGTATATCTGACAGGACAAATTGATCATAAATATTCTTTCATTAAGTTTGTATAAATTATTCCATTTAAAGAAAGCTAAGCTGAAATTTGCCTTAACAAACTATTAAGCACATTGGTTTCCAATGGACGTTACATATGTTTTAAGGATAATGAATATATAAATACAGAATAAGTATAAATTCACTTGTTGTTTTATTTGTATCTTCCCATTGTTATTTAGGATTGTAATTGATCAGTTTCTTGTTGGCATATGTACATCCTGTGTGGGTTACCTCAATATAGCCTCAATATATGTCTCAAGCTTTTAAGCAAAGATGGATAGTGGCTAGCAGTGAAATCCTAAGTGGGACTCGTCAGCTGGATGTCCA